GCACCGCGGCCGGACCTCGACCGCACCGCGGCCGGACCTCGACCGCACCGCGGCCGGACCTCGGCCTGACCTCGGCCGGACCTCGGCCGGGCCTCGGCCGCACGTCGGCCGGACCTCGGCCGGACCTCGGCCGCACCTCGGCCGGACCTCGGCCGGGCCTCGGCCGCACCTCGGCCGTACCTCGGCCGGACCTCGGCCGGACCTCGGCCGCACGTCGGCCGGACCTCGGCCGGACCTCGGCCGCACCTCGGCCGCACCTCGGCCACACCTCGGCCGCCTCGGCTCGCCTCGGCCGGCCCTTGCAACGGCACAAATTACCGGGTTATCGTCAAGCGTAGAGTGGGAGGGCAGGACAGGGAGGTGGGGGGACAGGTAGGGGGAGGGGGAAGGAGGCGGACGGGGAGAACATTGGCAAGGGGACGTGGGGAGGTAGGGGCAGTGGGGGCGGATGGGAAAGACGGGAATGGGGCGAGCCGGGAAGAGGGGGAAACAAGGATAGGAAAAGGTACAGGGATGGGTGGACAAGGGGACTGCTGCGGGAGAACGGTGACTGCGGAGTTGGAGCCGGAAATTGTTTTTCGCGTTATAAAGGAATCGAAATAAGACGGTAAGAATTCATCAGGAATATGTTACCGAAAAAAGTAGTTGGAAAGCATTCCCTTAAAAACAGCACTTTCCTGTTCAATAAATGCAGTATCGACGTTATGATTTTATCTAACCAGTATGAACACTAAAGACACAAAAAACTGTATCATCATAATACCCAAATAAATCGAATTTCTCGGCAACAGCCGCTAATTCTAAACTACATCAGAAGTTAAAAATCAAAATTCTTCAACTTTCTTTCTCGCCCTGTTTGTGAGGATGCAGTGACGCTCAGAAGTAGCTCGACAGGCAGCAGATGTCAGCAGTAACAATTAGTTGACAAGGCAGTCGATGACTCTTTCTTTCGAGTATTGCTTACAAGCAACTTGATGACGGTCTAAACTATGTATGTTGAATAACGGTGCCCAGTCTCGAACTGCATTCGAAGAATCAACGACGCACTACCTTCGTGAATTGTACGGTCGGAAATGATTACAAATAGAGTAAACTGTTGAAAGTTGTGAGTGAATAAATATCTTGGGTTTTGCGATACTCGAAAGGATGCTGAAATTCTGGTGCTAGGTTGTGGATGAATGTTGGGACCTGAGCTATCTGGGCCTTTACTGTAAAAGATTTCCGATTCGAGATCTCTTTACCTCAGCATGTCTATAAAAAGGTGAAAATATATTTTTTTTTCATAAATCGTTGTTCAATTAATACGTAGCTAGCAACATCCCTCTTCCTTTGACCAATGATCAGTCAACTGGCAATTTTGACATTCGTTTTTATGCGTTTTTTGCATCTATGCAATGCAAAAACGCATATTGTCGAGGGGTTGTCTGTGTGTGTGTGTGTGTGTTTGTGTGTCTGTGTGTGCGTCTGTAACGAGTTTTCATCTCGAGATCCACAAAAGCTACAAGACTGAA